AGCTCCGCCTCCTGGATTCACGCCATTCTCCTGCCTCAGCCTCCCAAGTAGCTGGGACTACAGGCGCCCGCCACCACGCCTGGCTAATTTTTTGTGTTTTTAGTAGAGACGGGGTTTCACCGTGTTAGCCAGGATGGTCTCGATCTCCTGACCTTGTGATCTGCCCTCCTCGGCCTCCCAAAGTGCTGGGATTACATGCGTGAGCCACCGCGCCTGGCCAGAAGCCGGTTCTTGAACCATCTCATTTTATTTTTACTTCACTCGTCACACCTGGCCCCATTTTTTGTTTTTTTTTTTTAGCGTTGTTTTTGTTTTTGTTTTTGTTTTGAGACAGGGTCTCACTGTTGCCCAGGCTGGAGTGCAGTGGTGCAATTGTAGCTCACTGCAGCCTCGATATCTGGTGCTCAAGCAATCCTCCAACCTCAGCCTTCCGAGGAGCAGGGATTACAGGTGCATGCCACTACACCCAGATATATTTTTTTAAGAGATAGGGTCTTGCTGTGTTGGCCAGGCTGGTCTCGAACTCCTGACCTCAAGTGATCCGCCCACTTTGGCCTCCCAAAGTGCTAGGATAAGAGGCGTGAGCCGCTGCGCCCGGCTTGGCTCTGATGTTGTTGTGCAGTGTGGCTGAGCATTAGCCCCACAGAGGGCAACGGGTCCCTGCCTTCTGCTCTCTACCAGCCGTCCCTGGGGAACCTGCCATTCCGAAGAAGTTATGTTTTTTGTTCCCAAAATAGAACTGGATTTCAGAGTTTATTTATTATAAAAGCGACACCATGAAAATGGAGAAAAAGGCCAGCCACGGTGGCTCACGCCTGTAATCCCAGCACTTTGGGAGGCAGAGGCGGGAGGATCACGAGGTCAGGAGATCGAGACCATCCTGGCTAACACGGTGAAACCCCGTCTGTACTAAAAATGCAAAAAATTAGCTGGGCGCGGTGGCGGGCACTTGTAGTCCCAGCTTCTAGGGAGGCTGAGGCAGGGGAATGGCGTTAACCCAGGAGGCGGCAGAGCTTGCAGTGAGTGGAGATCGCGCCACTGCCCTCCAGCCTGGGCGACAGAGTAAGACTCCAACTCGAAAGAAAGGAAGGAAGGAAGGAAGGAAGGGAGGGAGGCAGGGAGGGAGGCAGGGAGGGAGGGAAGGAGGGAAGGAAGGAGGGAAGGAAAGGAGGGA